TTTTGGTTCATTATAATTTATAGTCATTACCTATAAATATTATAGTAAACAATTATATAGAAAACGGTTTTTGATAATACTATATATTTTAACACGTTGGTATAGTCCACCCAGAGCCCGCATGGGTCATAAAAATATATAAAGCAACAATGGTTTTATTATTCTTATCGGGGATCGACGTCGCGCGTCGTCGTAATTTCGATAAAAATAAATACTCACACTGCCACACTATATTACTAATTCGACATATGACAATCATATGAACTCAGAACTGTAACGAATAATGATAATAATAATCAAAAATTTGGTTATTAAATTATTATATTATTTCGCAATCTGTGTTTGAAACATCGAGTCGCGTGTCGTAAATAACTTCAGGCGAAAAAAATAGTCTAAAAATTAAAATGGATGTCCACTACTATTGTCTATATATTAAATATTTAGAGTAGGTATTTTGGAGGGGTATTGTAACTTTTTCACCTATTATAGGAGCGGCAAATTTTTGGTGCCTATAGCCGTAAAAAAGATAAATCCGCCTCTGGCAATATGTGATGGCTCATCTGGAATTTAAACCGAGTAAACATGTCGTGAAGTCAGCATTGTTTTTCTTAAGCCAATACTATAGTGTAATGTAGTGTAGTTGAAGTAGAACTATATAATAATTGAAGACCGCAGTAAAAGCGTGGATAATCGGATCACGACGTTATTGCGGGGCTTCGATGATTTATCGGTGTAATGACGAATCGGTGATACGTACCACCCCTCAGTATAGTCACTACATTTTAAAACAATATGTTCTATGAATACTGTTTTAATCGTGGCACCTATAGGTTTAGTACTACAGAGCATACTGTTAATGTAATATGTTATTATATTATACACATATAATATTATAAATAACCGGAAATGACAAATTTTTTTTTCAGCCAAATTTCTTTTTACCTCGGATTCTTTGATCTATTTCCTCCCCTTCGAAACCTCTTATTCACACGTCGAAGCAAGAACACTTTTAAGTTTCAACGAAGGTTTAAGTCTATTGTTACGTTTTGACGCGAGTAAAGAATAAAATACCTACAGCGACGTTTATATGATGTTGTACGTATCGATTTTCGATACAGCTTATAACTATATAATATATCCGTCGTATATATATATATATATATATATATATAATTGTATATAATATAATATAGATTTTTTGTATCGTAACTATATATAGAAACGTAGGTATATAATGGCGTGTTTTACATGTATAGGCTCTTGTTGACTATAATAACGATAGGTATACCTACGTATGAAAATAAAATCCTATTGTGAACTTAAATCCTTACACCTATTATACTGTGATTCCTATCTAAAAGTTTACTATTGTTAAACTCAAAGACTATATATGAGGATATAAAAAAATAAGAAGCATAATCTAATACGGGAAATAAAATCTCAGAGTTCGATCTCCTACTCTTGTTCTCAGGAGAGAAACTATTTCGGACTGGCGCCGCCCGATCTGGGGAGAGATTTCGTATTCGTTCAATTTTATACAGAAAATAATCATCACGTTTCGAAGATGATGACGCTCGTTTCGTTAACACTAAAGTGATTGAGTTTATATGTATTATAGTATCTTACACAAACGCGATTGATGAGAAAGAATAATAATTTCTTTTTGGCGGATAAAATCGGTCACTACAGAAAACCAAATCGAGATGAGAAAACAATATCACAGAAAAGCCCATGATATTATTGTTGTCGTATATTGATAATTTTCTCTGCACTGCACACGTCATGGAGTTGCAAGTGTAACATGTCTAAGGGGTGAAACTATCTGTTATATAAATAAAAAATAAATATAAAATATGGAAACAAAAATTGGAAAAGCTTCGTTGCACGTTCGATCATAAGAAATATTTTATTTAGGCCTCGAGAACCACTTCCAAATATCGTGATGTAGCAGGTACTATTGAGAGTAGATTGCACAAAATCTATACACTCAAATACTCAATTCGTGTATATATTGCATGCGCGCGCACGCGGACCCGTGTGTGTGTGTGTGTGTGTGTGTGTGTGTGTGTGTGTTTCTTCCAAATACAAATAAACTATATAATATTTGTATACGTGTATGATACGAAAGAAGATCCTAGCATTAAATAAACCTAATATTCATAAAACGTATAAATCTATAGTATTATTATATTTTATTCATCCGTTTGAAATATGCGAGCAATAAACAGCAATAGTCAAGTCACAAATGGAAAAAACACTGAATTAGGTAATATATTTTATGTATGAAAAAATCAAACGTAATATTATAATGAAATGTAAAGTTCATATGATGAACAAAATATTAATCAAAATGCGGCTATGGTTGTATTTCTATTTATTAAAATAAGACGGAGTAAACAAACTTTAATTTCAATAACACCTCATGACTTTTATTCTGAAATCAGTGGTAGAAATGTTCACCAGAATTTATGAAAATGATTACAATTTGAGTGCAAATATTTATAAGATGGTCTAATATAGTAATATATATTACTACCTAGTATAATATAATATTAACTGCATTATTATTATAGTTGTTTATAAATTAAAACAATATATTATATATTTTTTTCTTGACAAATAATTACTAACTAGTCATTTGATTACAATAAGATATTATAATAAATTAAAAGACAAACATATTACAAAAATAATATTCCCTACTGCCGTGAAGCTTTAGTACACTTAATTTGTGGATATACCTCGTACATATACCATGAAATATTGTGTGTTGACAACGAAGGTGGTAAGTTTTAAAATATTTTTTTTTCTAAACAACAGTTGAATAAAAGTGATTGGTTGACAGATGAGATAATCAAAACAAGCATATTTTAATCTTGAAAAATATTTTTTAGATAAATCTCCACTATTACATTATTATAGTATACATGGGCATAACGATTATCTAGTGATTTGGGATGTTGTGAAAGTGTACATTGTTATGGATTTAGTATTCAAATGTATATTGGGTGGTGTTTATACAAACTATCCGTGAACAATAAAGCTGAATATAAGTGCCCTGTTAGGAAAATAAATGTTGAAAAGTTATACTGAAATCTCCTTTCTCTAAATTCAGTTGTATAAAATTTCGTCACTGTGTATCGTCATTAATCGCACAATAAAAGTATTTGAGACAAAAAAATGTTTTTAAATTATGTATTATTATTTTTATGGGTCATATTATTTTTTATTCAGACTAATATCGTTATGAAATTACCAAAGTATTAAATTATTTTATAGAACGGGTTGTCATGATAAGTAAGTGGTATTAAAAGCCAAAACCGGGAAAGCATCACTGTACAGCTGAATGTGTTCATCAGCCGTGAAAACATTAGTGTTTTAATATTTCACAGAGTATTAATGAGTACGATGAGCGATAATTTGATTCCATTAAATCAAATACAAAGTCGACGGTTTATAAATAATATATTATAGCCGTGTGCCAAATGTACGCTAACATGCTGTAAGAGATTCAATTTTAAGTGTACTACCATAATCGTGTTCTGAGCGTTTTGGTGTGCGTTGAAACAGTTAAGTAGAGACAAAAGCCGATACGAAAATATTTCGTGAAGAAAGAATAATTTTTACAACCATTTTAATATCTGGCCAAAAGGGCAATCTTTTGTCTCTGTCCCTGAAGTATTCCACAGAAATCAGAGCTGCCAAGTCTGGTGGAAGCTGTCGCAAAAAAAACAGTCAGTATACCTACTCCTCGGTTTGGGGAGGGATAATTATTGATCTTGACAAAATTCTAAGAAACTTTTTTCCGATCAACCCTTTGATGACTCGAACAATGGCGTATAATATAGACAGTAGTTATAGTTTTACAATAACATTATTTTAAACTAAAAATATATAAACAAGTTGAACACTCTTTGAGTTATAATTTTAAATAATATTATATTTTATTTATTTATTTATTGAATAATATTTGAATATAAATATTTGAATTTTTTAAGGTACAAATAATAATTTCTGACTCAGAATTGGTAACATAAACCGTGCTACTCATCTACTAGAGTCGTATGTATTTGTATGTTCACAGTTCGTTTTTCTACGGTAAAATGTTTTTTTTTCAGGCGGAAATGTCCAGCTCAGAGAACAAAGATTTACCGTATCATACATTTCACACTCAGTGTCCACCTATTTACCACTCACTCAAAAATATTTACCATGTACATACCACTTACTAGGTATATACTACTTAAAAGCTCTTAATGTATGGAATATAATTGGGCATTTATAGATTTTATAATATCAAACCAATATTTTCAGAGTAACAATTTCATATGGTAACAAGTATAAACCCGGTTAAACTTTATCGGGTGACCTTATGTCGATTTTTGGTTACTGGTATGTCGTTATAGTATTTAATTCGTTTGCTAAAATTGGCATACTTACACATTTGTATTTTAGGCGAGCGTAGGAGTTTGTTTACTCTCGTGATCAAACCGAAAGTAATTATAATCTCTATACAGAAATGTTTAATAATATTTGAAAATTCGGAAGACAACATTCCAGTTGATGAAAACATTCTTCGTCGACAATTCGTTTAGAATGGTCAATATTAGTTAACGAATACTTAAGTTCACAATAACGGTCGACTACATGCATAATATTATTATGATAATCGACCCTTCGAATATTCCCATATATTTGTAGTATGGCATTCATAAATGCTAATATCACACCAAGGCTACATTTTACAGTGTAATAAATATATAGTAATAAATAATATAATATGTGTATAATATGGATAGTATGATAATATATATATATATAAATATTTTGTATATTATTACCTATATAGTAGGTATATACCTATAATACCTACAATACGTGGAGAGAGAGTCAAAAGTGAATTGGACTCTTTCGGAAACGATCAGGAGACGTGATTTTCGATTATCGGGAGCAATAACGATTCAGTCATATCATTAAATTATGTTGTCGGAATAATAAATTCGTCGAAGGTTTAAACGTCTGAATATATTATACTGATATACGCACATCGGCTTACACAGGGGAAAAAAAATAAAACGCTTGCGTTTAATTTACGATGAAAAATAAATAGATAAAAACATATGCTGTAAACCGATCGTTTCCAAGAATACGGTATCCATCAAATTCATTTTATTTTATTTGTTTTAAAAATTTTAGTTAAAAAAAAAAAAAAATTGCACGAGAGATCAAAATAGTAATATGACCGACGATAGCCACGCACGAGATTATTCAAAAGGAGGAGTGCGGAATACAATTCCGCCGGACCAGATCAATAGACTGAGCTACTGTTTGCATCCCGACGGTTACATTAACCCCTACGAAACACCGGTCGCCTTAACCGAGTACCAGCTAAAGTAAATTTATTTGAAATATCGGTCAAAAAACTCGTTTGCTCAAATATAAACGCTAAATTGCAGTGAAATAAGTAGGTTATTATCATCATCGGTATAGTTATAATATCACTTATATCGAACTAAAAATACGAATTAAAAATAAGATTGTTGGGTATTTCATACCGTATGTTCGTCGGTAATATTCACTGATTTATTTTATACTCGTATCGACCTTATATTGGGCAATACCGAAATCTATGATTAGTCGACTATGATAAAGGTTTTTTTTTTATAGTTGGAAATTGAATCTTGTTAGTGCGTTTCCAGGTTAAATTTTAAAGTTCCGAGTAGATTTTAAAAACGCTGAGAAAAAACAAAAAAAAAAAAAATTAAGGAAGAACGTACATTTTTACTCAAAGTTGGTTTTCGGTAAAATCATAATAATTATAATACAATCGTTACATACTTTAAATGTTCACAGCCACAACGACGACAGCATATTATACAAAAAAACCATCATAGTTTTGGGCCCATATTATGATGACATCGGTCAGCGCCGATGTCTTCTATATATTAAAATATTATGCAATAGCAGGTACCGTCTGCACTATAACATAATTAATATAATATTGTGTTTCTACTTTCTAGTTTCGAATTCCGTAATATCATTATAAGCACGTATATATAGCTATTAATTTTCGGTGTGCATAATAATAATAATACTGTACGGTAGGTAGTAAGTTCATTATTCAATATTCTCATCATCAAACCGACGTATAAAAATGTATTTCAAAGGTGCATTGACGAGTATATTATTATCATCGTGATACAGCACTCTGCTGCCGCACCGACAGTATAATAACGAACTCTTCATCATCATCGTCATCACCATCATCACCTTCGTCGTCGTCACATCGCTCGTGTATCTTGCGGTGCCTCTCGTGCGCACATTGTTGTTTTACCGGTCGGCCCGACTACGCGCGCGCAGCAGTCGGATCGTCTGTGGTTTTAATTAATTTAATTAAAATCCTTTAGTGTTTTACACACGGTCGAGCGTAATCACTCGAACGCCACTGGGGCGGCGCGGCCAAAGTCAGGTCCCGCCGTATATATACCTACAGCGATGAACCACTGTGGAGGCACGATATCATATTATTATTATACGATTTACACTGTGATAATACGTGCGTTTATAAATTGTAATCGTCACGTGTTCTACGGGTGGGAGAGGAGGAGGAGGAGGAAGAGGAGGAGGAGGTGGAGGATTATGCTATTCCCGAGCAATGATTAAACTCGACATCCTATATAAACAGCGGTTGTAGTAGTAATAGTAATAATAATAATACGACGGTATAAATATCGCGATTAACTTTGACAACGTTTGTTGGGGCCGACCTCGAAATAAGGTGATATAATAAATGCTTATTAAATGAGACAGTGATTTATGCGATTCGCCGCCAACTCTTAATGGCAAACATTCGTTTGAAACGCCTAAGTTTTCGTCCTAGCGCGTTATTCCCGAGCGTCGCGTCGCCGCCGTCGTGTATAACGTATAAAGTTTGTTTTTTTTTAATGTCACGTCGCATGTAAACATTGTGTTGTACAATTAGTAATTATTAGGCATTATTAAGGTTATCGGATCATCGTTAAAATATTGCTACAAATCGTGCAGGTTCATCAACACTTCAGTACACCACTCCTTGCCCCTTGGGCAATTTTCTTCGAAAAGTTTACACTACAATATTATAATTTATAACCGTTGTGGTATAGGTAGACAAAACGATGGGCATATCGCATATAATATAAAGTGTTGTATATTATGTAGATTTATAATAATTACGTCTTAAATCGCAATGTAGGTACCAGGTACACCTATAAACAAAAGCGATTATTATTAGCTGCGAAATCGTTTAGTGCCGAGAACGTTTGAGTAAAATCCTCTATTGCAAAATAAACAAAACACTCCCAAGCACATAATATTTTCTGCGAAACGTGGTATGATTGTATAAAATATATTGCGAGGGACTTCAATTTTATGTGAGTGCTCTTCGCCAGCTCTCTGCTTCGTGCTCGATGTATCTATGACTACGTCCTCGCAATCAAAAAAAATTATGTACGGGTCCCGGACAAAATTTTACAATAAATGTAAAAAGCCTATGTAAAAAACCTATAAATTTATGTCCAATTATATTTAAGTGCAAAATTTATTTTTGTTCCTAAAACTCTAACAAACGTACTGCAAAATCTTGAACATAATACTTTTTTTCTTTTAGATTCTTAACAGTTTGTTAATTCAATAAATATATTGTGTTCATTGAAAACTAAAATCGATTATACATTACTAGGCGTTCATGTACTTCGCTACAACCGATGACCACAAAAACAAGTTCGTTTTCAGATATTTAATAATTTATCACTTTTTTATCCACCCGTGGCACAATTTACTTACAATCTACATTGTAGAGCATCGTGGAATGCTAGAAATGTAACGATTCTCGTATGATACCTGGGATGCGATCATCCTTGAACGTGGTGGTTTTGGTATAGTATAGGTATGGACAGAAGTGACACAATATTATTGATGAAATAAAGTGGATACTAAGAATCTCTGTGTTTAATGGATACGCATAATATATTATACTGTTACTCAAACAAAATTATATTATCCAGTCGTAATAACAATTGTATTATATGTAACCATAAACCAGTGGCAACCATTTATGTATAATATATATATATATTATATATAAATATATATACTAAAATACTAGTTTCTACTATAACTATATTATAATATGTGACCTGAAAACCATTTATGAATAAAAAATAATTCATAGAAAAATGTCATTGAAAAATGCACTTCAGTTTTTCCCGAATTTCCCATTTTTTTTCTGGAAAACCTTCATTCGGAATAATATTATTACGAGCGTTAAAATTAAAAAAAATTTCAAAATTACTTCAACTGTTCTCGATTGATACTATTTCTAACGAACTGCTTTTCATTTTCAACATACAGATCACCTAACTACTTAAGTTATACAGTTAGTATGTGCAAGACTGCAAGATGTTCAAAAGATTACTATTATACTTTAGGGTTAAGAAGATTTATCTAATAATATGGCCTTGTGGTAGTAATACGCTGAAATCTGACTTTTTAATTAATTGTAGCTATAAAAACTTTGCAATTGATTAAAATTTAATTTTTGTAAAAACATTATTATGAGAATTTTTATTTTTTATTAAAAATACTTATATAATGGATACATTCATTATTGATTATAAATACGCGATACTAAATATTGAATATAAAATAAAAATGTTCGCTTCAACAATATATTTAATATTGTTTCGTTGATGACTATAAGTGCCTATGTGTTTTACTATAATATTAAAATATCATAGAACTATTATGAAAAATATATTTGATAGGTATTATTTTGACACACACATTTACATGATCCTAAGCATAAGAACCTAAGCTCCTGCCCCCCGAAATTTAAAAAAATTGCGCTAGACTTTTTATATTTTGAACGTAAAATCTATAAATTGAGTATCCATAAAAAAAAATTTGGACCCAAGAATTTTTTTTCAATTATTTACAGATACTAATTTGATTATTTTTTACACTGTGAATTACGTTCCTGCAAATAAATATACCTACTGGTTGCACATTTACGAGTAAGTACACTTCAGTATTCCAAACTTAGTTCGCGGTTTCAGCCAAAGGTTTTTACCAAGTTCCATCACTGATGATATATATATGTTTTGATGTTGTAACTACGTTTCATCCTGTATAACTGCACTGTACCCATAGGTATTGTACTTTCAAGTTGGAAAACACCAAGCAATTAGACGTATCGCGTGCCGAACGGAACCGCGTGCTCGCCCTAATGGAAAACCTGTCGACAGTCCAGCAGCGATCGTTCACCAACCCACACGATTCCCATTACCCGGTCATAGGTTCGACCGCGATAAAGCCAGCTCTGGACCGGAGCAAAGAGGCTGAAATGAGAAACTTCAAGATGAACGGCTGGAGTGAATATCAGGCCGTCTACGACCGGTACGGGTACAAGGCGATTGCGTGAAGTCGAAGTGTGCACATCAAAATATATTTCACATATCACAAGAATGATATCATAATCACACGAGTTCACACAGAGAAAAATAATATATTTAGAACATATTATCATCTGAACGCTAAACCATGCGTAGATTATAATAGGTAGATATGAACCATTTGTTTTAAAAATATACTCAATGAATATTAAGGTTTGTCTTATAGAATATTGCATTATTACATAAGAGCGACAGTTCATGACCGTTTGTTTTTAACATAAATACGTTTTTTTGGCTGGGTACAAGTATTTTGATTTTCTGGATTTATTTATTTATCTATTTTATTATATTAATTTTCCGATTCTAGCTGACGTGTTCGTTGTCATGGTTACTCTACTCATCAAACAAAAACATACTTATGATTCATAGATTTTTTTAAGAGGAAAAATGTCGAGTAGCATGATATAGTTTTTTTTAAATTCTTAGCAAATCTCAATATATCGAACACTCCTACAAGACATACCACCAGTGATACATTTAAAAGTGAAATATTATAGTTATTTTATCTGACCTACAACACCACAAATATCACGGTATTGTGACAAAGTATTGCTGATATATTATATTGAAATATATGTCTATTGAATAAGTAATATTGGCCGTAAATAATATTATTTTTACGAACTCAAATGATATGGGCTGTAGACAATATTATTTTTATTAATTCAAATTCTTGAAACCTGCTTACACGTCTTGTACACGATCGATTCCCTGTAAATAATATCTAAAAACAATCGAAATCTGCAAGGGCTAAGATACGATATCGGCACACGCTTTTGCACAGCGTTTCTGTGAGACCGTCGAGAGGTAATCGTCGCTTACAATAGTATACCACAACCAGTGTTATAATGAACGCGGTAGCGTAGGTATATACCCAGTAAACACAGTGGCATGCCGCAGTGGTGTTCGTGCGATTACCTACCTAGGTGGAACGTACACTCGACTCAACGACGTAAAAGATTAAAGGATTTGAATTTAATTAATTAAAACCTCCGGCGGACTGACGTTAGCAGAACAAAAAGAAATGTGGCAAACCGCAGATTAATATTACCGTTGTCAAAGGCGACGGCGAATTCAGTTTTACAACACTCTTGCACACGAGCGAGTGAGTGCACATTTTCAGACAAGCGTTTACATAATAATAATATTATGATAATCTCTCTTTTATGGTCGCTATTTTCTGTCAACGAGGCACACTCGCGCGAGCCCAAAAAACTAGGCGAAATGCATGCATGCGTATTGAGTATATTATAATATGATATAATATTATTATTATAATAATATACTGTGATATACGAAAACAGAGATGTTATTATAAGAGCATGACGTCAACGCACTGTTAGTTTTCTCCCTGTCTGGTCCACGCAAAACACAGACAATTCAACGCATTCACTCAAAATCATTTTTTTTATTTAATGTTTTTGTGGCATCTTAGAGAAAAATTATATGAAATAATAATTTTGAGTGTATGAAGGGTATCTCGATTATTTGTCCAAGTAGTATTTCAAAATAATTTTAAATACGTTAATTTAAATGTAAATGTTTTTTCTAAGAACAATAATTTAAAGTCAAATAATAAAAAACTATAAAACCGATAAGAAAAACCCTCAAAAATATAGTATAGTAAAGTTTAGTTTTGTATAGTTTTTGTAATATCAGCTGGTGAATTTATTCCAAGATCACTCAAAAATCTTAGGAAAAAACGTTACTTGACTGCGTTTTATCCATGTCGAATGAGGGTCTGAGAGAGAGAAAAAATACTTCGCTGACATCCTGTTAAACAGCGTTTGTTCTTAGAAGAAAACAATTAGAAAATAAAATGATTAAAACAAATAAAATGTACCACGCCCTTTGTTCACAAGCTAAACTAAATATTTTATTTTCAAAACGAAACTATTCAGTCGCTAGCCCCATCAACCGCAGTATTATTATATTTGTACAAACGGCGAAGTCAATTAATACCAACAATGTAGGAGTACCCGATGGAGTGGTGTGGGGCTACATTGTAGAAATATATAGGTTAGGTAAATTGTAATATACGTTACCATAATAATATTATATTTATGTTGCATAAGAAGATTTTTGTATTTTTTCAAATTAGTTTATTATTTGCTAACATTTTTATCATAGAAGAATTTTGTGAGTTCCTTAGTTTCGGTCCCATATCGTTCATGACATATTTGGAGGCCAAGAGTATGCCACAATATATTGAAATCATGGTTTAATCCATTATTAAAATAAACTTTATACCAAATGTACTTGTATTTTGCGATTTATTTTTAAACCCATTATTGTAATTTATAAAAATAAAAAATAACGAAATAACAATATTAATTCATCTCCACATGTGACTGGGCTTCTGTCTTACAAAAACATACAAAAATATTTTCTGGCATTTGAAATATTACATTTTACTCTGTTATTTTTAATACTCTAAAGAAATGAACTAAAATCAAATATAAAGATAAGAATATTATTATCTACGGCCTCGTGTAGAATTTAATTTCGAAGCTTGTTATATGCGCATTTTAAAAATATGTAGGTAATAAAAGTGTGCAACATTGTTGATGGATCCTGTGCTCAATTGTGTCGTTGAAAATATACAGTGTGCTCAATCGGATCGGGTAACGGCCAAAAAAACTATGAAAAATGTATAGACGACTTTTTAAAAAATCTAAAAATATTATTAACCACTGTAAATTGTGTTTTTATTTAGTGAAAAAATAAACAAGGGTTTCAGTCCATGTGTGTACGATAACTGTTAAAAAATTCAAGACTTTAATATCGGTGTGTATCCAAAGTAATCATGTGTCTGACTTAATACCAATTATAACTCAGAATTGTTGATAAATCATCGTCAATGTTTACCTATCTGGACCATGTACGAATATGTCAAAGAAATAGTTGCTTGGGACACTATCGAGTTATCACCACATGGTTTGTTATTTATTTATAAGCACAATTTCAAATGGTTATGCAGTTTAGTAAAAGTCCTATATAAAACATCTATTATCCCATGCGCGCTCACAATATATTATTATTTCTGTGAAATTGAAATTGAAATTGTATAATATAATATATTATATAATAAAATGTACACACGATATGAAATAGTATATCATATCATTTTTTTTTTTTAGTTTTTTAATAACTATTATGCTGATATATTACGTTCCGTTCGGCAGTGTATATTATGTATATTATTCATAAATATTGTTTTCTTTATTACCGTATAGTTATATTTGTTGATATTATTTCCAGTGAAATAAAACAATTCAACGAATGTGTTTGAAAATAGAAATAAATTTCATGAATTTTTATTGAATACATTTCGTAATTCAAACTGATGAAGCTCTCGAGATTTGCTCATTTACATTTACTTATTTTTAGAATCCCATTTAAACCAAAACTATGTAACTTTTTATGATTAATTTTAATAAAGAATTCATTAAAAAACTTATTATTTACTTTTTATTAATGGTTTTAATGTGTTTTTGTTGAAAATAAAAAACAAGTTAAGAAATGTAATTTTCTGTTCATTAAACAAATTAAAAAAGGAAAAAAAATCGTGTTTAAAATACTTTAGTTCTATCCAATTCGGAATATCATAGCAACATCTTATTAATAAAAAATGTTAAGTCTGAAATAATATCTGAAACGACTGTTCGATTTATAATAAACAATAATAATATACAAACAATAATTTATTATGAGAATTCGAAAAGTTCAGAAAAAGATTTATTTCTCATTGGTCGAGTTCGTACATAATATTATTACAATTCATTATTAAACGGTTTTATTTCTTATTATATCTTACGCATATTTGAGCATATCAGGTGCGTATTAATCACTAAATATTTATCAATTTTTTTTATGTACCTGTATGAATTTAATATACATATAAAATTACGAGTGTAGTAAAAAAAATTCCATTTGATATTATTCTAGGAAAATGCAATATTGTTAATAATTGATCGACGGCGTTAAACAACTCTAACACAGAACATAATAATATTATGTTGAAAATAGATAAGATTATACCATCATGGTGATTTGTGTAAACAGGTGCCCCCATATAATACACGAATATTAAAAATTATAATATATAATTGTACAACATTTTCACAGAAGGTATTTATAATTATATCATAATATTATTGTAATATGATTTCAAACAGCACCACCGTGTGTCGATGGTCTATAATCAATAATTCTGGAAACAATTAATATATTTTATATTCGCCTTGTAGGTATACGCAAAATATTATACAACACATTATTTTGTCATATACAACCACCCCCTCTCCCACAACTCACCACACCGATGATATTTTAATGTGCATTTGTCGGGTTATACAGCAATATATAACTTTTAAGCATACACATATATAAAATGTACTCGGTGTGACGTTGCGGAATAACCTTAACAATAATATATATATATATATATAAAAGTATTATACATAATTGCATTACTCAATGATAGTCACCGTCACGCATCGGTATCGAGTTAAAGAGCCGAGGGATGCGTCGACTAAACTCGGTCTCGTTTTTATGTGGTGTTTTTTTACGTGATTGTGTTGCCAATGGACATTGTTGTCGGTCGTGTACGAATTTAGTTGCCCCGCCCCTCTCCACACCATTATTATATATACCGTTGGCGCGTTATACTTTTTTAAATTTACTAAATTAAGTTTGCCAACTCAGTTCTCCGCCGTCACTATATTGTGTGGACTGTGTATATACTGTACAGTGTATATATATATATGTGTGTGTGTGTGTGTCGTCTTTCGCCACGTTTGTCTTACATCGACCCTGGTAATTGCGTTTGGAAAATTAATCTTTACTATTTTCAACGTTTCACGGACGTGGGAGGATAACGAATTTCGGCGAAAGACGTAGATATGACATACAGGACGACCATAATAATATTGTTAAATCGTGATTTGTATTTTAATTCATTTTCCAG